TTGACGTCCTTTGTTACTTTGTTACAGACTGGGTAAACAGTGACCACTCATCTCACTTACGATTTGTGTATGAGGTTTGGGCGGGGCTTGTGTGTTATGAGGGATCACACGTTTCCCTCACCAACAGCTGGAAATTGGTACCTATTGGTCAACAATGGGAGGGGCCTACGCAACATGATCGGTTGGAGGGACTAACTAACAACACAACGACAGGTAACTGAATTATGACGGCTCGCCCACAACGCCAGGGGCCAATGCACAATTTATGACAAAACGCAATGGAGTCACTAAGACGGCCGTCTAAGACAAGTGTTATTGCTTAGTGTGATAGGGGTTGTGTGTTAAAATATGGTGGCCGCGGCCGCGTTGGACAGGTGCCCGTTTTACACAGTTAAATTATATAGAAAAAAACGCAAGGGGGGAAATGAAAATTGGCCGTTTGTACAGGTGGTCGTCTTATAGAGGTGGTCGTCAGGGCAGGTTCGACTGTATATGGTAACAAAATAAACAGACTTATTGCATGATGCGTAATGGTGCATCCTCATCATCATCATCATCATCATCATCATCATCATCATCCTCATCATCATCATCATCATCATCATCATCATCATCATCATCATCATCATCATCACCATCCCAAAATGTTCCTGGGTTTGTTAAAGCATAGCAGTTACTTCCATGTTAACACATGTTCTGTTTATGTGACAAACCTACTTCCTCTCTCCCTGTACCGTCAGGTACATAAGGCGGAGAGCAATCGACACCACGTTGGTCTGTCCCTGACCACAATCTTCAATTCCGGCACATCCAGGCCCTGGGTGATTGCCCCATCCCTTCTTGTACCTCCATAGCTTCCAGTTGGTCTTCCTCGTTTTCTTTTTTTCCCAGTCAGTGAGTTAAATAGTGAGTGCGTCAGTGAGTCAGTGAGTGAGTGCGTCAGTGAGTCAGTGAATGAGTGAGTGGGTTGGTGGGAAAAGAGAAAGAAAGAAGGAAGAGAGTTAAAGGAGACAGAGGGTAAGGGAACGGGG